CCGCGCCTCTATTCCAGTTTTCCCAACCTTGGGCAAGTTTAAGTGGGGTGGATTCAACCCCCCGAAATCCCCCAGGCAGCCTTGCTGGGAGTTGAAGTCCACCCATCTTAAACTTGCCAAGGTTGAGAAACACTGCTCTATTGAATAGCTGTTGCCACAGCCATCTCAGCTTTCAGATGCTTTTCTGTAGCCCCAATCCTCTGGCTGGGCATCTCTGGGCTAAAGCAGACCTCCTTGGCCCGCTGCCTCCTGACCCCAACGGATGGGGCGGCTGGAAAGCTTCACACCTCCTCTGTCTCATACATCGTCCGCTTGGAGGAGAAGGGCGAAGGCTCTGGCTGCTTCAGCTCGCAGGGGCTTTCAACCGTCGAGAGCTCCATCTCTTCAGCTTTTGCCAGCACCGAATCCCAGGGGCCCTCCGTGGGTGGAGGGCAGAAGGTCAGGGTGAGTCTGCCAAGGAGAGGAGAGCGCTGGGCAGGGATGCCTGGGTCTCCACCACCATCCCTCCTCCTATTGTAATCTCAGCCGTGGAGGCATGGGCAAGAGCCCTCCTCTCTTTGCAACAGCAAAACCCTATCTTCTCTGCTCATGACAGACTTACTTTGGGAGGAGATATTTCTTCCCAACGCCTCTGGCCAGCAAGTCAGGGGCTTTGCCCACCCGAAAGCAAGGCACCGACAGGTTCTCCCCATCTTCGTAGATGCCTGTGGAATAACGGGACAGTTCATGCCTGCTTCCTGCACATCAGAGGCCTTGCAGCCTCCTCCAGCCCTCGATGCAACAGAAGGTATTTGCAGGGCTGTCTCTCCCTGAGGGTATCTGCCTGTTGCACCAGAGCCAATAGAGTAGGCACGCTCCAGGTCCCTTCCCTGAAATGCTGCCATCCAGCAGGACCTCAGAAGCCTGCCTTGTCCGTGGCTGCCCCAACCTTATGGAACCCCCTCCCCCGGTGACCCGGGAGGCTCCCATCTCACCCTTTTAGCCTTCTGGAAGGCCATCAAGGCTTGGCTCTTCACTCAGGCGCTGGGATAGAGCGGTGGGAGCCTATGGATGGTTGCTGAGGCATCCCAAGGGGATGGGTGAGGCGCCAGGTTTTGGTTGTGGTTTTTATAGTTTGGGATTTTTTATTGTTGTGAGCTGCCCAGAGCTGTTTTAAGATGGGCGTCCATACAAATCTTTTAAATAAACAAATAAATAAATAAAATAAGATGGCACAACAGTGGTGAGGGCCTGTTGTGAAGCCTGCTCACCTTCTAGCAAGAGTTAGTGCACTAGAGAGGACCAAGTTCAGGATTTGAGGGGGTGACCTTGGTGTTCTCTTCCCAAGGAGCCCAATACATTAGCCTGTGTTCACACATCATGCTTTACCTGCTTTCTAAACGGACCCATTTCCTAAATGGACTCATTATGCACACCTGTTAGCCCCACAAGGTAAGCCAGACTAAGAAACCAGCACCATGTAGGCCAGGACTACTTTGACTGTAACAGCTCTAGTAACAGAATCTTGTGCGTCTGAATGCGCTTCCCTCTCCCTCTCTTTATCTTCATGAGAATTAGGGAGGGGGCCTATCTGAGACGTTTACTCAAACTAATTTCTTGGACTGGGCTCAAGCCCCGCTTATCTGAGCATTGCCTTGGTAGCAGCTCTTCCTCCTGTCCTTCGAGGCTATTCCCTCTTCCCTCTACAGCACTGTGTGGTAAACCACGAGCAAACTAAGCAGGCTGGGTCTGTACAACACACTAAGCCACAAAAATCTAAAACTGGCCAGATTTGTCATGTTGTGTCAAAGTGGCCACTGGGTTTTTCCCTGATCGGGTTAAGCATGCTCCGTGAAAGACACCAACATTTACGGTGCCTGTTGATTAAGCCTTAGAATGTCTACAGTATTCTGCCCCACCAAGGCGAGAGATTACGGGGCTTGGCTAGTCCAAGATGTCCCAGCAGATCTGTCCTTGGCCCTTTCGTAACTTCCTCCTGGGGAAGGAGGATCTTTGGGAAGAAACAAAATCCATCTCGTCTCTTACCATGCAAGTCGGCCAAGGTGACTTCCAACTGGGTGGGCCCCGTTGGCTCCAAATCCACGCGCAGCTCAATGCCGGCCAGGTCCAGCCGCAAGCTTTCCTTGCGCACCGCCTTCTCGGCCCAGGGACGCCTCTCGGGCCAGGCTCGGAGGTCCGGGATGGGGAACTGCAGATGCAGGGAGGCTTTGGGGGCCCCCAGCTGCACGCTGGCCTGCCATCTGGCAGCCGGGGGGAAACCTGGCTGGCACCAGCAAGGGGCAAGGAAAGAGAAGAAAACCTCAGTGGGGAAGGAGACGGCGCTGCCATCTCGAGCCGGCCACCTCCCCTCCCCCTTACCACGGGTCCCTCTGGAGGATAGCCGCCCGGCCTGGGTGGCCCCATGGCAGGCTGCAGCAGGGAGCAGAGGCGATCCAGCGTGCCCAGGTCCACTTCGGAGCAGAACTCGGCCAGCTCCACCACCAGCTCCACCGTCAGCTTGGCAGAGGCAACTTTGGCAAGGCAACTCTGCAAGGATGGGGCAAGATGTCAGCCTAGACCAGCGCTTCTCAACTCTGGCAACCTGAAGACGCGTGGACTTCAACTCCCAGAATTCCCCAGCCAGCAGGCTGAGAAACACTGGTCTAAACTTCCAAGGGGTTGGCTCATTTGAGAGCCAGTTTTAAAGAGGAAAAATTGATGCCTTACGTCAGCCCCAAATCCCTCAATCCGCAAAAAAGGCGCACGTTTTGGCCCGCTCACACTGGGGAAGGCATAGAAAGATGCTAATGGGCCAGATGAAGACTCCAGGTAGCCCTTCTACACCTCTGCCCTCCACCCATGTCTAGATTTCTGCCCCTATTCATCCTCCCTTGGATTGTAAGCTCCTTGATGGCAGAGATCTCTCTATCTTGGACCTATGAATTTCTCAGGGCTCCAGTTTTACTCATGGTACAGGATCAATTCTTTGGTCTGAAAGCTAAAGTGACAAAAACATTTCTGAGGACCTATTTCCAAATCCTTTTGAGAGCCAAATGATTTTCAGCACTTTAACCTGAAACCAAGTCATGGAGCATCAATAAAAGACTGCAAGATCAGATGTTAAGCCAGATTCTAATACTTCCTGCACTTAATAAAAGGGACTTGGATTCCTGCTCTGCTAAATTGGGGGTTGAGTGACAAAGCAATTTTTTGTGTTTCTTGCTTCAAAATAACACGAAGCAAAATATTGATTTCCTGTGTGTGTGTGTGTGTGAGAGAGAGAGAGAGACTCAGGGCCACAAAAAAATGGCTCTGCAATTGTGGCTGCTGTTCTGGTTGTAAATCAAGAGACAATGATAATGAAATGACTTCACATTATGAAAACCACCATCATGAGCCATGAGGTTTGCACCTTTCTGCTTCCTTCTGTGCGAGATGATTTCCCGATTGCTGTTCCACCTTAAGGAAACCAATCGAAGACAATCTCTGTAGCTCAGGGTTGAACGGTGGAGTCCGTGGGGTTCTCTGAGCTTGGCTGTTTTCTTGCAGACGTTTCGTTACCCGGCTGGGTCACATCTTCAGTGCTAGAAGGGAGTGGGGTTTGCTCCCTGCTTATATACTGCGGCATGACCTGCCAGTGTTGGTGGGGGAGTAGTTTTTTCCTTGGTAGTTCCTAGATTGGGCTGTTGTTTACTGCTTGATTGTTTGTCTGGTGTTAATCCCTGCTTATCTGGGGGTTGATTGCTGGTGAGGAGGTGTTCTGGTCTTTCTGTTTCCTTTTTACTGTCTCTTTTGAATAGTTGTTTACGTGCCTGTTGGTGGCCACCTTGTCTGAATACCAAGCTTCCTGGAATTCCCTCGCATTTTTGGATTTAGCCTGGTCTAAGATGCTGACAGTTTCCCAATTGAAATTATGGATAAGTCTGTCCATGTATTGTGAGATGAAGGAGTTAAACCTTAAGGAAAACCTACCTTGCATTTTATCTACCCCAGGAACCGGCAAATCAGGATGTGGGCTGGGTTGGAGAGGGAAAAGAAGAACTACTCTTTCACCCTGATCTAGGTTTACAGACCAGACACCTGAAGCCTTAAAGCACCACAGCAGTTTAACTTCCTGTCCAAACCCGCTCAGTCTCCCTGGCTGCATTGCCACAACCCTTAACCCAAACAGCTGGGGGCTGGAATATGAACTTTCACACACCCAAGTCTCTTCCTACATCAGAGCTCAAGCAGCTTTTCAGAACCGAATGAAATGCTTTGCTTTGTGCCACAGCTAAATCACCTACAGGATAAATATGGGCCTGTGGTTTATAAATAGGGGAGTTGACGTGCTGAGCTAAGCTTGTTGGTTTTGGCGTGGCACAACCCAGCCCCTACAGTTTGTAAACGCTGGTGGATGAGTTAGCTCCTCCAAACCATAGTTAGACTCACCATGGTGTGGGCAAATCAAATCGGTGTGTTCCTGGGATTCCAGGCTGCGCTGATGGCAACAGACTTGTCACACAACGGTTTTATAAACCTAGGAAACCCTTGGCAGGACTTTGACAGGCACAGATAGGATTGGTTGCCATTGCGTGCTCCCCCTGGCTAACAAGGTATTTACAGTTGACTACAGTGTTTCTCAACCTTGGGAACTTCAAGCTGTGTGGACTTCAACTCCCAGAATTCCCCAGCCAGCATGGC